AACAGAATTCAGTGTTACTTTTAGTCTCAGAATTATTTGATTCCAGCTCTTCTGTACTGAATGAATAACAGCTTGGTCCTACTACATGGTGTTAATTAAAAACTTACAGCTCCTGTAGTCTGGTTTTGTTGACCAGAACTCAGTGTAGCTGTTTACTGTCAGGCAGCTAGATGAGTAATTTTTCCACTGCAGTTACTGATGTGTTTGTGGAGTGTTACTTTTAGTCTCAGAATTATTTGATTCCAGCTCTTCTGTACTGAATGAATAACAGCTTGGTCCTACTACATGGTGTTAATTAAAAACTTACAGCTCCTGTAGTCTGGTTTTGTTGACCAGAACTCAGTGTAGCTGTTTACTGTCAGGCAGCTAGATGAGTAATTTTTCCACTGCAGTTACTGATGTGTTTGTGGCCAAAACTTCCAGAGCTCACAACATGCTTATTGCACAAGGTGTTCAAAATGCCAAAGCAGAACTGCCTGGACCTATGGTGAAGTAGTAGGAAGAGCATCCCATGAATTCAGAACTGTCTACATAGAGGACAAATGTTAACTGTGGTTTATAGCTTGCACCTTCTCACTGAATCCATGTCTTGATCTTTCGTAAGTGACTTGTAGTTTCATTCTAGATACCATGAATGCAGCACAGCATTCAGCTCTCAGTGCCATTTGGAAGGACCTCGACTGGAATACATTTCTTCCACAGTTTGCAAAAGCAACATTCCTGCCGGGACATGGAATTACTCTCCCTCTGATGACACAAACTGCCTTCCAGTTTCTTTGCCTTCCTTTGAGCCACACTTACCACAGCTAATTGCCACACACTGACATCCTAAGTGACACCTCTCCCAGGCTCAGACCTCACCTGGCACCTTATATTTACGCACTTGGGGTAAAATTGGGGTTTGTGAGTAATTCTGGAAGTTTGTCTGCCTCCCCCACCATGGCAAGGAGCACAGCAACCTACAAGCTCTCCTTTGCAACAGTTTTCCATTCACTGCCAATGCAGAGGATCCTGCACTGCTGTTCCAGTTCTGCCCCTGAGCAACAGGCACTGCTGCTGCCACAGGGTGTTGGGAGAGTGGGAGGAATGGGAGGGGAGGGAATGGGAGCGGTGGGATGGAACTGGGGGGAATGGGAATAGAGTGGGGGGTATGGAATGGGGGGTATGGGAGTGGGAAGAATGGGAGTGGAGGGGATGGGAGTGGAGGATAGGAGTGTATGGAATTAGGGGGAATGGAATGGGGGGCATGGGAGTGGGGGCAATGGGATGGGAGTGGAGAATAGGAGTGGATGGAATTAGGGGCGATGGAAGTGGAATGGCAGTGGGAGGATGGAAGTTGGGATGGACTGGGGGAAATGGAAGTGGGAGGATGGGAGTTGGGATGGACTGGAGAAAATGGGACTGGGGAATGGGT